GAATCTTGGTGCTCATATTTTTCCGAGAACATCCTGTTTTTAGAATGATGCAAAGGAAATTTGTCCTAAGTTTCTGCTTGATGAGTTTGATTGTGATTTGTGAAGCTTAAAGTCTTACACTCCTGTTGTTAATCCCTAAAAGTTGGATTATTAGAACCAAAGATAATTCTTTTTCTGATGTAATAGTTTACTGAAGGCTTATTTGTAGGCTTATTTCTATAGCGTACTGAAGGCTTATTTGATACTTTCTTTAGCGCAAAACACCTATGCCTTTTTTATTTTGCACTCCCTAAAACTCTTATGAGTCGTTTTACTATGTTACTCGATTACTAGAACATCCTGATTTTGAAGTTTTATTGGAGACTTGATGGCACTTTATTCATGGTAGAGTATTATTGGAGAACTTTGCTTGATGTAGTTTAGAATTTGAAAGAATACCATACAGGCGTTAATATACGGTTATTGTAATCTCTCTTCACTTACAGGCTACATAAGTAGCTCTAGTTAAGCAAAAAGAGGCCTTAACTTGCTTGGTTTAGTGACCTCAGATATGGACCTGTAAATCTGTAATGTCAATCAGTTATAGCTCAACGCCTTTGGAACAGAGGTGGATTTAGTTGAGTCGTTGGTTGGTGATGAAGTAACAGACTGATTTGAGCTAGCTGGCTGTGAGGAATCTAGTCTGACTCGATTATTAGAACATCCTGGTTTTGAAGTATCCAACTGACTACAATCAACTTGTAAGGAATTTCAAGCATTCGTTGATTAAACACTTCTTCAGAATTAGCATATTCTAACTCAACTACAATAGATCCTCTCTTGGAATCAGGAAGGTGGATATTTAATTAAGCTTGAAAAGAACCAATGCATAAGTGCTACCGTCATCATTTGAATGTTTTGCAGAGCTTTAGACGACAGATCTATGGACGATCAATATTCAGAAGTTGTCTCGTCCTCGTAGGTTCATGGATGATCAAACATCAAAATGGACTAGAGAAATTCAACGATGACATATTAATGGGGAATAAAAAAAAATGAATTAGGAGATTGGATAGTGAAATTGCAATTGACATGATTTTGCGAAGCTGAGGTTCAAGGTCAATTGATGATATAATTGAACTTCCTTCTTTGGTTATACCAAATACCAAGGTTGATACTCTTTTCGATACAGTCAAATTCGGCATACATGTCAAAGCACTAGTTTGACCTTAAATTTATATGATTAAATGTTAGTAAAAATTAAAAAAAAAAAAATTCGACATTTGAAACTTTATATTAATTAGGGCGGATAACACTGTCATAGCTAGCTAAGTTCGGGAATCTCTTTCGGTTTGACTTGATGTCACAAATTTAATTGTTGTTAGCAATATTAATGAAGGTGCAAACAAATATTTTTAGGGGTATAACTGTCCATACACTATTTTTAAGAGTTTAAAAAAAGAAAATTGATATAATATGCACAAAAAAGTAAATAAACATTGTATAGCGTATAATTATCCAAACAATATTTATAAGAGTTATTTAAAATATTTTAACTCCGTCAACCAACGTTGTCATCCTTTTGGTGAATGTCTTGGAGAGGAGTCTAATGTACCGTCATACACAAATGACAAAATAATAAGTAAATATTTTTAGATTATACAACACGATTTCTAACACTCAGTATTTATAAAAATGTCATTTGATAAACATATTATATTTTCAACTCATGAAAATTAATGGGTGATTTTTTTTTTTTTTTTTTGACATCAGCATAACCAAACAAGTTACAGAGAAAAGAATAACTAATTAAACTATTAAGGCTTTCATTTGCTAGCAAATGAGCTTTATATACCTGTTCCCTGTCTACCTTGAGAATATTACAACATTGAAAATTCATACCCAGTTTCTTAATTTCTCGAATAGTCCAAAAGATACTAATATCAGTAATGTCTTCTTTCCGCAAGAAATTGATTAAGTTCATCCTGAGTATAGCAATACTTTCACAAAACCCATACTAGTACACCATTTCAGGCCCTCAAGGCAAGCTTGGGCTTCCATGTGTAAGGCCGAGGTTGCTTGTCCAAAACCTGCTCCCGCATCAAAGAAATCCCCTTCATCAATCTTTGCAGACCATCCAAAGCCAAATCTACCACTTAATTTCTCCCATGAACCATCCACCTGTAAAGTACAATTCGGCATGCCTATACTCTGGCAGAAAACAAACTTTTCCTTGCCAATGTGAACTTGGCAAAAACCTGGCGGTTCTTGAAATTGCGCTCCCGGATCATCTAACGTTCCAAGTGCATGAAGATCCGGCTTTCTAAATTCTTCCAAATTTTTAAGTGCTTCCTCAATATTCCTAGTTAAACTGCCAGTATCACCAGTTTCGCCCCCTAAAAACACGCTGGTTTCGCATGACCCACATGCCCCAAAAGGTTGCAATGAAGGTTGTTATAGCATCACTATGTATTCCATCCCGACTATAAAACAGCAGGATATAAGATTGAATCCATTTTCTCAAAGGAACATAAGAGAACTCCCAATGGTGATCAAAAAATATGCTCATGGACATTTTGGGTGGGCAAAAAATATGCTCATGCATTACAATGGTGATCAAATGAAGAAATGCAAAAATATGCTCATGAGCATTTCTAAAAATGCCCAAGACTTGGGCAAATTTGCTGATGAATAGTGCACGTGGGACCCATGCAGAAGAACCAAGCAAAAGCCGCCACATGTCCAAGCAAAATCAGAAAAAAAAATAAAAAAGGACCATTTATTTGATGACACTTGTCCCAGCAAATTCAGAAAAAAAAAAAAAAAAGAGCAAATCCAATGCTGCCACGCGTCCCAGTCAGGTATAAGAACCAATTAGATTTTTGTAGCCATTTTGCAACGGCTATTTTATGTAATTTGCTTTTCGTGCTTTATAAAATTGAAAAAAATAAAATAAAATTCACCAACGGTCATAAAATATTTTTCTCTACAAATAGACATCCATTTTCATATTTTTTGGTATAATTTCCAAAAATCCTCTATATTCATAATATTTAGTCTACTTTTATTTTTGTAAATATTCTAAATTTTGTATTTTAGTCTACTTTTCGTATGTACGGGTTAAATTAAAAAAATATTCATAATATTTAGTCTACTTTTATTTTATTTGGAGTAGTATGGTTAAATTTAAAAACAAAATAATAAATTAGTTATTAGTGTGTAGGAGAGAGAAAATAATCAGTGGCGGACCTGGCCTTGTGCTTGGTGGGTCAAGTGACTCACCAGGGCCCAAAAAAAAATCTAAGGTTTATTTTAAAAATATATGGGGTTTGATGGAGTAGATAAAGCTCAGAAGTTGCTTTAATGGAGGAGAGAGAAAATGTCAGGAAAGGGAAACAGAGTAGGAAATCGGGTCTTCAATTGATCTCTCGTAATTTTTCTGCGACCTCTGTCTCTTGTTGTACCTCACTCTCGTCTTCAATGGGGTCTGCATGAGGAAATCGGCACACATGAATGAATTTAATTCAATACATAAGGAAGGAAGTCTTTTCTTACTATTAGTTCTTACAGAGGGTACTAAACAGTTCTGCAAAGGAGAGGGAAAGAAAGAGAAAGGAGAGAGGAGAGAGAAGAAGAAAGAGTGGCGTGGATTGAGATTTGAGAATAGGAAAGGGGGGGTGTCTTCTGTATGTGGCTTTTAGACTTTTTAGATTTAGGTTTTTTTTTTATTTATTTATTTCCCTTATCAACCAAACGAGTTATTACTTCATACTGCTGTTTTGTGTCCTCTTGTTGCCTTCGATTCTAGTCATGCTTGCTTAATGCTTATCAACAACACTTCTGTTTTGTGTCCTCTTGTTGAAGATCATATGCATTTTGCCCTATTTCTTACATTGTTGTTGTTTTTGCGAGTGTTTCGACCTAAGTTTCGTATATTTAGTTGGTTGCATATACTTAATATTTAGTTCTTTAATGTTATATAGCTTATGAGAAAGAGGGTACAAGAACAGAGGATATATGCTTTCTGGTTTTTGGATGTATTTTTTAGTACTATTATTTGGTAAAATTTTTTTTTACATATTTAGTTATCAATTGTGACTCACCAGTCGGAAATTCCTGGGTCCGCCACTGAAAATAATAGTGGGGTATTGAAAAAGTAAGAGAGAGATTAGTGGGCAAGCATTTTTTTTTGCTCATTGGTGTGATAGTTATTGTGAAAAAACTTTGCTCATGGGCAAAATGATATTTGTTGAGAGAGAAAGTGGGTAGATAGAGAGTGAGCAGATTGTTTTTTTGCCCACTGTGAGTGGTCTAAATAGAGTCATTAATTGTTTGGCTGTTAGTGACATGGGCATAACTCCACGCAAATTCAGCCAATTAGAGTAAAAAATCCTTAAATGTTAAACGCCAAGAATAGTGAGTATGAAGCGGGATTTTTGGCTCCCACTTCCTCACCAAAAATATCCCTCCCAAAATTACCTCCTTTCCCGCTCAACCCAAATTACAATTGCTGAGTAGTCGTAATATTAAAGCTCATGTATGTCCATCAACTTTGTTTCCTAAATCCCCTCGTAGTAGAAGGTCACACACAGACACTATTCTCACAAACCTAGAAGTGACCTTTGCAACTCCAGGGAAAACCATTGTAAAGTACTCTGTAGGAGTTTAACCGATGGCAGAGAAGACCGTTTGAGTTCACTTCCCGACGCAATCCTCATCAAAATTCTCTCTCTCCTCCCAACCAACTCCGTCTTATCCCACCGATGGCGCTACATCTGGACCGGCGTCGCTCGCCTTGATGATGCACCAAACCTCAGCAATATCCTACTACAACTGACATCCCCTAAACTCCACTTTTTCAAAATTGAGTTCGATTCGGGTGCCTTTTTACATGATGACCCTGATGCTGATGCTGTATAATCATGCTTTCATCTGATTTGCCGCCGAAATGTTGAACAATTCATTTTCACTGACACACTTGTAGAGGAAGGGCACTTTCGCACGCCTGAATGCTTTCTTAGTTGTCAATCTCTGGTAAATTTGCATTTGATTATAAATGTATTCAGTTTCAGCTTCCGAATTTGAAGAAGCTTTGTCTGATTAACCTTTCAAATGTGCCTGATTGGGTATGGTCTTTGTATACATTTGCCCCATTTTTACAAGATTCAACTCTGGTGTTTGAGACGACTGCTAAACTACCGCCTAATGTAATTTCTCCTCTGAATTTGCATTTCCTCGATTTGAAGTCATTGGCGCTAGCTTTGATTCCCGGTATTATTCAAGTTTCTATTGATGCGCCCAAATTAACACATCTTATTATAAATGGTTGTGTTTTACCTTACACTTTTCGCCGTATTCCAACTGAATTAATCAAAGCGTGTATTGAATTGAGGAGGGAGGAGGAGGAGGAAGAAGATGAGAATGATGCAGAGGATTTTCACTGGGTTTCTGAATTTTTCAGAGGAATGTCTAGTATTACCAACTTTGAGATTGTGGTGTTCAGGAGTATTAATATATTCTCTTTCTTGAATTTAAATCCGCCCATGTTTTTTAATGTAGTCCGTCTTGAAGTGACCTTGAATGGGTCTGATTTTAGTGGTTGGAATGATTTGTTAGTTTCGCTGCAATGCTTTCCCAACTTACAGCATCTTTGTGTGACATTCGATGTGATGGGTTTTGTTGATGAACTGGTGCAAACAATGTGGCGCTCACCAGATATTGTACCAAGCTGTCTAGTTAATAAGCTCGAGATGATAAAGATAATCGGACTACCACTTAGTGGGATTGCTGCTGGGCTCATGTTGCTGAGGTACATCCTACGCAACGCAAAAGTTTTGCGAAAGCTTTACTTTGGTGCTTGGTTTGATGAACATTCTCAAGCACAAGAACTCTGGAAGGAACGTAAGTTCTGTAAGTCCTTGTTTAAGCTTCCAAGGAGCTCGCCGACTTCTAAGGTTGTCTTTTCTGGAAGGTTTATTACCTCATCAAGTAATACTTTCAAGAAAGGAAAGCTTACTTGTAAAATGACCTAGCCAGGTTCATTGACTATATTCTTCCAACATTAAAGGATGCATATGCAGATCAGGTAATCACTACCAAATTTCCTTTTGAATTTGCTTTGATTAATTTAGTTTGATTTATGCTTATAACCACTTTTAAATGTGTTAGATTTGTGTCAATTGTTAAAATGTTAGCTTGCTATGAAACTGTAATTTTGCCTTTCTTCTACTACGAGTTGTTTTGCATCTCTATATATTGTATAGTTATGGTGTATTTTCTTACTTGAATTGTTTTTTATGCGTGTTAATCTTAGAAGGTACTAACATAAAATGCTATGATCATGTACAAGTAAATGTTTGCGTTTGTTGTCACTCAAGCCTTATAACTTTTCATGACAATTGAGGGTTTCAAAGCCACAAGATACGTGTTAAAAGTTTGCTTCAAATTAGATTAGAAAGGATGAAAAATAGTAGTCAGTAGACAGAGTTTTCTATACAACATATGCTCAAGATTTACTCTCTACATACTTAGTTTGAGCTACAAGTGCAATGAATGTTGATAATTAAGCTTAAGTAACTAGTATTAGTTGGACTCAAAGGGGCTTGTTGGAATTTCAATCTCAAAGAATTAATAACCATATGGCGAATTCTGTGAAGCCAAGCCAGAGTGTAAGCAAGTATTAGATTTTGAAACGATTTGCAATTATCCACCTAAATTGTATGGTTATGGTGTATATATGACTCGAAATGTCATGCTCTATATTAGTCAATTTATGGATGCAAAAGTGTATGAAGGTTTAAAATGATGTCCACAAAGGTGTATCCATCTTCTGTGTTTTTAATTGGCACGTGTGAGTATCATCGCCCTTAATAATGTATGCAACTCACTAATAGCCAATAGGTAAAGATAAAAAAATAAAGAGAAGGATTATTAAAGTGAGAAATTGCTTGCTTCTCTGTGTAAATTTTTGTATATTTTTCTTAGTGCCGTAACCTGGATGTGAAGGAGGGATGCTGCTTGTAACTTAGATGATAATGTAGAAGCCTGTGAATTTTCTTTTCGTTCAGATTGTGAAAAGTCAGTATTTGTTGTATGTTCTTCTACTGACTCAAGTAGCTGATCTTGGTGCTGAAGCTAACTTAGATGATGACCGAAATATGTTGTTATCTATGCATTACCGTCTATATGTTTAGGGATGATTGGATGAAGCGTGATGAAGCCATCCAGTTATTAAACTTATATTCTGCTAGTCATGGAGACTAAACCTGAGAGATGGTAAATAACAGAGCAATCTAATATCAGGGGGTTCAGTCATTAGTCTCATTACACCTGTACCATGTTCGTATTATTGTATTAATCAGCTGGTGTCTTTATCAATGAATCAGGTAAAGACTAAGGCAATACACTTAGAGCATTAGCTCAAGTAGAACATCACAATTGGACAAACTGTATCATAGCTACTTACCGGGTTAATGCAACTAGACAATTCAACTCTTACCAAATTCAGATTGCGGTGCAAACAGCAGACCAACCTCCTTACTAAAAAAATTTGCAGGAACTTGGAGATCTAGAAATGGAGCTGGTGATACCTTAGACAAGGATGCAAGATCAAGGAACGAACGTCTATATAAGACCATCATTTTGCTTTCCCCTACCATGGTCTGTAGTAAAATTGTCCTTGAACAAAAACTTAACTTCTGCACTCTATGGATTAATGTATAAAATATACTATTGTGATATTGTCCCTGATACAAGCCTTCTTGCAAATTTCAATCTCCTAGAATTAATAACCATATGATTATATGAGGATTCTGTGAAGCGGAGCTACGTATCTAATAAGTGAATAAAAATATATGAGCTACGTACCTAATAATTGATTAAAAATATAAGAACAGTTAATCGAACATCAACTCATCAATTACTCTAGTTAAGGAGACTAATCTTTCCATAAGCTATAAAATGCGAATGATAAATAAACTTGAGTATAAAATCAAAATTACAAAATTTTTTGTACATCAGTAGCTCTAATCCCAAATATTGACATCTATTGTATAATTCTTGGACATTTATTCTTTTTTTTTTCTTGGACATTTATTCTTTAATAACGTACATGTACGAACAAAGTCTCTGTGTTTAGCTATGCACACTCCAAATCAAAAAGCAGATGATTTTCTTTTTCAAATGCAGTTCGTCGTGTAAACTGATCAGAGTGTGGTCACAAGACCTACACCCAACTCCTCAGCTAGCTCATCCCAAACAGGAAGCAATGTCAATACAACCAGGAAAGTAGCTGCTACTACCACGGCTTTCCTCCAACTCCCCACCTCCGTCACATCATTTAAACATGGTTTCTCCGGAGTTCTCTGAACATTGTTAGTACATACATTAGCTAAACAAAAGACTGATTAATCGTTCCAGTTTTAAGGTGAAGCATTATACCTGACAAATTAGCACGTATAGTCCCCACGGAAGTGACAAAGGCCCCCCTAGCTGAAATAAATTTTGTGGCAAATGTGATAGAACATCATCAGATTTACAAGTAATTTCAATATTAAATTCAATAAGAGTCATACCAATCCTAGCCCAAGCAATGCATAAGTCGTCAACCCAAAAGCAATAAGTGCATTCTTTCCAAAAGCACCCTGTAAATATGATATTTGAAAAAGCATTTAGTAATTACAAGTTTGAACTATCCCACAATACATGAAGAAGACACAGGAATAGTTTGATTGAGTGAAGACCATAATAACCTGATTTATAGCAACTAAAATAACAATTAGTTTAACCATTTTACTATAAAGGGCATCTGATAAATTCCAATAATGAAACACATGTAGCAACCTCAAGTAGATCACCTATCAACTGAAATGGGAGACTTGTGCACATTTCCAACTACTTGTACAAAGAGAAGTCTTTTTTTTTTCTTTTTTTTTTTTTTTTAACGAACATCACTGAACATTGCTGCAGTAGAGAAGGCCGCAACAGCCGAATCACTGCAGTAACTAAATCAACCACATAAAGAAGATATAATCAACCTGGCATAGGTATAATCACTTAATCTTGTTAGCCAAGTTCTCTAGCCCAATAAGACACGCTGGACACAAATACTTCAATAACTGAAGACACAAAAAGAATCGCCTGGTCATTACTGAAGATATAAACGGCATATATGATGTAAAAAGATAGTCCCAACACTAAACTTCAGTGTAAAACTGATAACAAGATTTAGCAAACCTTGGGATACTGAAATATGAATCCTCAAACTCACATCATTAATTAATGCCACCAAAATAAAAATGAAACAAAAGAGCCAACAGATTGTGGAGAGGTAATAACCTCTTCCATTGTTTCTGGAGCTTTTGGTTGCTTGTACTTTATTGTTTAACTATAGTGGTTTGCACATGCAACGAATCAAAAGAGTAGAACAGCCAACATAGTTAGGTTGGTTAGTGTATAGCGTATCACCACCATGATCAGTTTTTGTATCATCATGACCACTAAGTCGTATGAAGAAAAAATAAAATAAAAAACAGAGTGCAGGTTTAAATGATTCTCCAATCATAAACCAGGTTCAACAGAACTTGTAGCAATTCAACTTTCCTTGCATACCCAAAAGTAACAACTCAACATTCATTTTGCAAAAGAAGAAAATGAAAACTGGAATTCCTTTACAACCACTATTGACATCTATTTGCACACTCTAAAAATTGTACAGATTAGATTTTCAACATCATAGAATACAAAATTATTTCAAGAAAACAATAAGCTCTTTACAAGCCCAGTCTTGTTCCAATGAAGCTTTTTTATTTAAAAAAACAAATATAGAAAATAAAATTAAAAAAAAAAAACTAAATAATTATTTGGCTACTGGATTGTAATTAATTAAGTGAAAAGGCAGAAGGTCATTTTTCATCGATTTAACTGAAAAAAGGCTGTGTAATTTCCAACTCCTTTCTTCTTGCCCAAAGTGAGAAACTCTCTTGATTTATATTATGTTACCCACAAGAACAAATGGAATGAATCATTGAACTCTTCAAGGAAAGTTAGGGAAAACTATACACAATGTTATGGGACTATAATATAATATTGACACTAGAAGACCCTTGGATACTCGGATATAAAGACTAACAATAATTTAAAGCTTCCAAAATTGCCAAGAAAAAGATATATCTTAGGTTACATATCAGATTATCCTAATTGTTCAAGCCAAGTAACCTAGCACACTTATTTTGTCATCCAAGTAGTTCAGCTAAGAGAAGAGACCAAGGTATATATTACCTGCACAGCTCTCCCACCATCAAGGCACCCAACTGGAAGCAAGTTGAAAGCAGTGCTAGTCAATCCACACCTGCAAATAGGATTAGGTTAAAAATTTTCAATAAAATAAGTATATGTGGAAAACATATAAGATTGGAACACAGAAGCTTACCAGCCAGCAATCATAAGCGGATGGATTGAAACCGAGGCAGCATGCATTGCTCTGCATTATCATAGAGCAAGTCAACAATATTTAAGAATAAGAGCATTACAAAGTTGAAATATAAGGCATAATTGAATTTGTTTTTCAATTCTTTTAGAAAACTGAGTTGCACTTGCACCGTGAGCAATGTATAAAAAAAAGTTCAAGGTGCACAGTTCCCTGTGCCTTAAGTGGGCCTAGCTGTGCCTTGTTGAAATAAGGCGCACATACCAAAAAATAACAAAAATTGTGTTAAAACAGTTGTGCACCTCAGAGGGTACGCTTAGGTGCTCCTCATCCACACTTCATCAAAATCGCTTTTCCTAGCCTAGCTGCCTAGAGCGTAAGGCGCATGACCCCTAATGCCCTGCACCTTGCCACCTAAGCACACTATACACTGACCTTGAGATAATAAGCTAATTTTTTACATGGGTCATCTCCTCATCCATATCAATAACATAGTTATTTCTTCAAATTACTTATCCGTAAAAGAGATGGAACATATACTAAGCACTAGAAAAAGTTTCGACAGTGTATCAGGTATACTGTAGACTAAGAAAGTTCCTAATCAATTAAAAAAAATAGTTTCAAAAAAGCACTTCAGGGGAAGACATACGTATAACCAAGAGTGGCTCGACTTATGAGTCCAAGAAGCAGAGAACCTTGAAATAGGGTGCTAGGCACTTGTACAAAATCCCCGGAGACATCAGGATTCAAAGACAACAGCAAGCCAACAGCAAACATGGACAAAG